CTTCCAAACTAAACCATTCTATGATTTGCAAGAAGAGTGGGGGGCAAGCTGTGAGCTGCTGTCCAGTGAAATAAGAGTGCTGTTGACCAGCTGGAAAAAGACCAAAAAGAAACAATTTTGTTTTTCAGCAAAGATTAACTATGTTAGATATGTGGTGGATTCTCTCATTGTAAAGACAATGAGTCTCAGGACCAAGGAGTAGCAAAATTCTGAGTAACCTCCTTTGTTCAAGGCACTAATGAATTATTTGACAAACATCTTTGCCAGTGGCCTAGATACACTTGATGCCTTTCAGCAAAAAATTAGATTAGAATATTTATTGAAATCCTTAATGCATTAGATTTGTATGATTCCTATTTCTACTAGGATTCTACTATTTCTACTGCTAGAAGCAAGGGAATTTTGTACTTCAGAGTTAAGAACAGTATCTTATCCATATTTTTACATAGCATCTAACCACATGTGTCTTTTGCAGTATGAGCCTCAGGTAGTCCTAAAAACAGAAAAAAAAAAGGAACAAAACCATGGTTTGCTCCTGCCACTCCTAAAAAAAAAAGATTGTCTTCAATACCTTGGCATTAAAATAAAATTGTGGAAAGCAGGAGGTTTTGCCAGTGGTTACCTGCAGGAAAATAAAAACAAAATAAAATCCAGAATGAGAATTTGACTTATTCTTCCATTTAAAAAGAAAACTAAAAGGAAGAAGAAATCATTTCTTCTAAAAGCGCTAATCCCAGAAGCATTGTAATAGCTGAAAAATATCTTCTTCACATTTTCTATGCAAATAATCTTTATCCACTTTTAGATAATGACATTTGGGTAGAGAAGAATAGATTTCCTCTGGGAACACTTTTATGTCATATGGCATTGAGTTCCTGAAAACAGTAATTGATCTGTGGGGGTCAAATATACTTAAGATATGATTAATATTACCAGAAATTAGTCCCTCAATGGTCAATTTTTCAGACACAATACCAATAATTAGCTGGCTTCTTTTCCATGCACACATAACACATATCATATTGCTGTTACTTTGCAGAGCTTGTATTTAGTATTTATTCCATTTTTGGATTCACTCTTTTGTTGGTATTATTAGACATAAGCCCATAAAACTAATTTTCACCAGCATTAGTACAATTTACATGGCCCAAGGCCCACAGTTTTAGCAGTATTTTTGCTATATTAGCAATAGATCTCTTGTGAGAAAACTGCTGTGCAGAAATTTTACTGTGCTTATGTGACAGCTGTTCACCATGTGTTTGAAAGGAACTATCAGGTGTGTTTCTAATTAAAGTGTTTAAGGAATCATTAACAGAAAATGGCTGCTGACAAAAATCTAGGTTTTCCCCTACTCTAAGCCAAAGTTTTGGTGAGAGGAATTTATTGCAGAAACAATAGCAGACATTAACAGCATTTTCCTGAGATGTAAGTTTGATACCCTGCTCTGATTTTCTAGGAGCACTCTGGCATTTGCTTGTACAGACACAGGAGGAAATACACAAGACCTTACAGATGCTGTAACTTTTTGTGGGGTTTTGGTTTTGTTCTTTTATGAAAACTGTTCTGCATAGAATGCTTGTATGAAAAAGCATACAGCCCCACATTTGAGGTGTCTTTTTGCAATGCAGGACACTCAAATGGAAGTCTCTGGGACTGCAGGATCTAAGAGCTGTAGATGTAAAAGCATAAAAACTGTTGTATTGTCCCAGACCAGTGGTCCATCAAAACTGCTTGCCTACCTCCAACAGCAGCTGCTAACAGATGCTTAGGAAAGACTACAAGAATAGCACCTGCCTGCATTGACACTTTTCCCCCAAGTACTTCTGGCTGTTTGTGGCTTAAGGAATTATTGAGGTATTAAATGAATCCTCATTCTGATGTTCTGTCCTTGTTTGACTTTTCCCTATGAATGTGTCTAAATGCATTTTGAACAGTTTTATACCTTTGACTTGCATCAGCTATGTGAAATGAGTTTCACAGCTTAATTAGGAGTTATGCCAAACCAAGAGTCTATTCTGGGCTGGACTTTAAAGTTTCTGTCCCCTCCCTGCCCCTGCTGCCCTGCTGAAATCTTACTTCAAACATGACTAGAATTTCAATGTTCAACACTTAATAAATGAGAACTTCTGCCCATTCATCCCTTTGCTGTGACACTCTGGCAAACTGGACAATTCGAAACTGCTCTCTGTGGATGACAGCTATGTGCTTCATCTACATATTAACATTACTGACTTGTCCCTCAAACATAACCAGAAGCCATGGTGAAGTCTGGAGACTGAGTACTGCAAAGGGTACCTGTAGGAGTAGGTACCTGAAGACAAACATGCTCAGAACTTATTGCCAAGCAGGTTTGACTTAAACTACAGCTTTGCAAGTGAGGCAGATGTGAAATACCAGAGCAAGGTATGTCCAAGCATTCCACAGTAATGTGGCTACACTCCCCTCATCAGGCAAGAGGAACAGATAAGCTAATTGTTTGATCAGACTAAGGATTCTCAGATAATACTGTATCAGCAATGCCTGTTTATAAGCAAAATTAATTCAATATTGTAGATTATAATGTTAGTTCTGGACTAGGCAGCTATGCAAATGGCAAAGAGCTTCATCTCAGTTTTTACATCAGAGCAATACATGGTGCTTGCTCTATGCTGACACCCTGGAGCACATTCAGGCATCTCTGAGACACAGGAATTCCTCACCTGCAATTTATAAAATGTCCTTGGAAAGCCCAGAGTTGATGTGAATCTACCCGCTGTTGTGCAGGTAAGGTTAAGGGTTGAATAGCATTTTTCAGATGTATTAGACCATCCATTTCAATGCCAGTGCTGGCTAGAAAGAAAATCATGGCCAAGAGGCACATGGAATGAAATTAATGAAAAGCCCCCAGTCCATATCTCATCCTCTGCTGGAGACCCTAGCACAAGGAACATTTTAGAAGACACAGATTTTGGTTTTTACAGGTTTTTCTCTTAAGCCAACCATTCCCAGGTATTTCAGCAGGCAAGAAAGGCAAATGCAGCAGAGATTTAAAAGAGCCCAGTACAGGGTAGGATCTGAGTGGCTGGGGAGCAGCCCTGCTGAAGGGTCCTGCTACACAGCAAAGGCTGAACATGAGCCAGCAGAGGAACATGGCTGCAGCAACAAAGTCAAACTGGATCCTGGGCTGCAGCCACAGGGGCATTACTGGCAGTGATGGAGGTGAGATCATTCTTCTCAGGGTTGGTCAGGTTGCATCTGAACTGCTGTGTCCAGTTCTGGTTACTACACTTCAGGAAAGACAGAAGCAGACTGGAGAGAGTTCAAATAAAGGCTGCAAAGATGATCAAAGGACTGGAGAACCTGCTCCATGAGGAAAGGCTGAAGGAGTTAGATCTTTCATCCATGGAGGAGAGAATGCTTACAGGTATTCACGGTATTCCAGTACTTAGAGAGCAGATACAAGGTGGACAGAAGCTCTTTCTTCACAAGAAGACACAGGGAAAAGACAAGAGGCAACGGGTACAAGTTGTGCTAGGAGATGTATCATCTTAATTTAAGAAAGAAATTTTTTATGGTGAGTATAATAACTTAGTGGAACAACCTTACCAGGAAAATGGTCCCCATCACCAAAGGTTTTCAACTTGAGACAAGTCAGGTTGCTAGACAATGTCATTGAGGCTCCCTTTCCCAAGAAAACTTGAGCCAGATGAACTTTTGAAGTTCCTTCCAACTGGGCTGTTCCACGGCTCTGTGATTCTATGATTTAAATTAGGACAGGTGTACACTGCACATAGAGCCACTGCAAGTTCCAAGGAGATTAGAAGGACCAGACTGTGTTTGTGCCATTTCCCCAGTCTTGCTCCAAGAGGATATATTGCCCCAGATGCACTGGCCCCCCACATTTGTAGCTGACGTTTGGTTGCAGAAGTGCTGCTCTATTTTGAGGCAGTGTGTGCAGAGCTGTGACAGCTGGGCCAAGCATTAATTGTACAAAATTTTCAAGGAAGGTGACAAAATTTATCTTTGAAAGACAAGTGAACTGGTTTATTGAGATTGTTGGGAAAACAATGTCAGAACAGAGAAATCACTTTCCTTATCACTGACACATTTGCAAAATAGCATAATTTTCTCAATAATTTCATTCAACAAAGGGGAAAGGAAAGGGAGAGGAGTTGTGAAAATTTTTCACAATATTATTTTGTCATTTGTAGAAACATTCTGAAGTGGTTTTATCTTTTTATTTTATTTTCTTCCTCAAAAGGACTGTTCATTTAATTTTCTATTTTATAAAAAAATATTAAATTTCCACATCTCAAAACAAAGTATCCAGGTCAACCTGACACTAATCATTTATGAAATACCCTTCTGCATAGAACTTGTGGAGTTCCTGGTGCCATAGCTAATGAGGATGAGTGGGCAGTCTTTTACCAAATAGAATTTCCATCTTGTGCAAGTCTCTACTAATAAACTGTGACTCCATGGGGTCTGGAAGATCATGTTCTTTTTCACTGCACACTTTCAAGAATCATTTCCTCACCATGGATAACAGCAGCTTGGGGACAAATGATTGCTATACAGTCTCAATACCAGATTGCTTGGCCTGACAGAACTTCTACTGAATTATTTCTGAGTTGGTTTCTAGGAGTTACCTTTTGCTGCTACTGTTGTCCCCAGCTCATGTAGCATGGGTACTCATTATTTCTCTGCTCTCTCAGAAGGTCTTTAATAGCACAGTATGGTATGGTGGTAAGTTTAGAACTGCACCTATTCTTTTATTACTGGTAGGTAGCATGTCTTCCATCACCCTTTCACAACCCACTTATTTTTCTCCTTCATCTGCTCTAGCTTGTGTCATGTGGAGGAATGGAATGTAAGAGAATAAAGATAGAGCAGAAGGCAATCTCACCCCTGAGGAGTTACAGCTGTGCTAATTACCAAAGATTAAGAACAAGCCTACCCTTAATAGGCCACAGCTGTGTCCAATAGGATGCGTGCTATAAAAGAGTGGGTTAGCTAGTTGAGAAGAGAGCAGTGGTTTGTTAGCTGTGTTGTGGATAAGGAGTAGGAGTCAGTGCTGCAAAGAGCTGCCCATGAGGAATCACTCAAAGGTATGGAACTTTTGCAATAAGATAACAGTGTCATAGCTGGTGTTCTCTTTGAGGCATGTATTGTCCTTTTCCAAATGTATGAGCATGGCACCAACCACAGTAAAAGTCCAGCTGAGAAATGTTGTTAAATAATTGCCCAATAATTGTCATTAAAATCAGAGACACATGCCTGTTACTAATAATAAAAACATCTAGCCTTCTCTTTCTGCTTCTCTGTTGTGTTCTTTTTTCCTTCTTGCTTTTCTTTATACTTTTTTTTTTAATCCACTTTCTTTTTTTCCTGGACAGACACCTTCAAATAAAAGGCTCCCTCAATGGAACTCTCCCTCTGCATTGATCTGGTAAGAATGCTGACAGCATCCTAATTCCACAGACTTTTATAAGTGAGGTTCAGGTGTTTGGCTGAATGATGTCCATTTCCACGGTGTCACAGAAATATTGCTGTGCTGAAGTTAAATACAAATGTGCTCTCACTTGTTGTGCTTTTCCTCATTTCCCATGCTCTGCAGTAAAGTGCATTAGCGTTCCTTCCTGGTGAGAGGTGGCTGTGAGCAAGGAGACACACTGCCAGCAAGGCCTTGGCTAAGAAACATCTGCCTGAGCCAGCTGCAGCAGATTTCACAGGTCACTCACATACAAGGCTGACAATGTCCCACATGTCACCTCCACAGCCTCAAATCTTTGTTCTGTCCTAGCTCAGCCAGGCTGCCCTAGTTCAAAAGGCCCCTTCAGACAGATGGATGAGTCCTACTTCCCTTATTCCCGGTAGCTGACAGGAAAACTAAACACTTGTGAGACAGTGAAAGTCTGTCACTGCTCAGCCCTCGCTGCCTTCACTCTGCACGCTCTGTGATTTTGCTTTGCGACCACAAGATGTCTCCTGTAATCCATGGAAATAGCAAAAGGCTGGCAGAAAGGCTAAAGAGGTGTATCAAAGACAGGGAGCAGCCTCCAGGAAATGCCTGAGAGGAGCTTCCCAATGCATATCCCATCTCCCACCCAAGAGAAGAGCATCCCAGAAAAAAATTATCATGTGGCAGGTTTTGGTTAATGCGTTCCTCCATCTATGTTTGAATGTCACACTGAAGAGCAGACTTGTCCTTGCAGTGCTCTGCTTCTAGTTTTGGTTCTCCTTTTAGGAATGAACATGTAATATAACTGGATTTTCCGCTCAGAATTTAGAGCTAGTCAGAATGCTTGAGAATATATATTTCTAAAATTTTTCATTAAAAAGGAAGGGGGAAAACCATGTATTTAGAAATTCAGCACTCTGTTAAAAAAAAACCCAAACCACCTGGCATTTTCTCTATCAATATCTTTTCAGCTTGAAGTTTAGAGAATTTAAAAAAAATCTAGACAAGTCTTTAAAAATCTCCTCACAAATATTTTTGCCCTCATGAATTATCATTTGCTGGAAGAAACTCATACTGAAACAAGTGCTTATAATTGAAGGTATCTGTCATACTAAATGATACACTCTTGTAAGTATGTAATTTAATTTAAAATTTCTAATTGCAACTTGTAAGGCACAAAGGCATGCAAAACAAAATTAAATAATATTAATTGCTTTATTCAGATTGACAGGAGAAATCCCAAGACTTAAGCAAATCACAGAAATGGAGGAAACCCTGCTCTCAGGATTCCCAGCAGTGTAGTAGATCAACAGACCTGCACAGACTTCTGAATCAGATTTCTCACCTGAAATCAGTGTCAGGGTGGTTGTCACGGTACTTCCTCAAGCAGCAAGTTCTGCAGGACAGGAGCCTTAAGGCATAAGCAGGTGTTGGGAATGGCAGCCTTCAGTCTAAAGCTGTGCTTAAAAATAGAGCCACTACAGACAGACAGGACACTAATTTTTACCCCTCCTTGAATGCCCTGGAACTCAGTATTAGAGCACCTGTCCCAGCAATTGGCTTTTTTTAAACTCCACATTTAAAGATGGTAAAGGCCCCCTCTCTTTCATGCACTTGTCTGCTACTTAGCTCTTTTAGAAGAACATGTGGTACATGTAATGGTGTATTTGAAGGCAAAAGTGTCACTTGCAATGAGAAGGGTGGAAATTAACCTCAATACTTTTTCCATGTTCGTTTTGATTAAAGGGTATTCTCTTTCCAGCAGCATTTTCTCTCATGAGCAGCTCCACTGAGGTCAGTGAGACTGCTTTTCAGGCTGTAGGATTTACCTCTTGATGAATATAACCCAAAAAAGACAAGTGGAAAATCCCCCTGGCTTTTAAATAAGGTTTTATAAGATGTTTAAATGATACCAGAGGCTGTTCTGAGGTATAACACATAAACTGACTTGTGGTTTTCATGTGAAATTGAATAAATGCCTCCAAAGTACATTATTAAATATTCTAGTATGAAAGATCACTCTGAGCACTTTTGTAAATTTCTATTATTGAAATATTGATTCAACAATTTTGAAGAACCACTATGGTTTTCTATAAATACTACCCACAAAAGTTGTTGTATGAGTGCATAGGCTACTGCATTCCTCTATGCAATGTGCATTATGGAATTTATTATTTATGTATGTTAGTCCTTATCCATCATGAATAATCTGAGATGAGCTCAGTTGATTAGAACATGGTGCTGATAACACTAAGGTTGCATATTTCATCCCCATATGGGCTGTTCACTCATTGGACCAGGTGATTTTGTTGGGTCCCTTCCAACTCAGAATGTTCTGTATTTGTTAAAAAAATACGTAACTAAAACTACTTAGAAAAATGGGTGAATTGTTTACTTTCAAATTAACTGTGGAAAAGGTATAAATAAATTGGAATTACTATGTGAGTTCTATGATGGTAACTACTGGACTTAATGAGAATTTGAGTGATAGCCACCATCTTTGGTAAAATTGATAACTAGAACTTGAGCTGAAGTATTCTGTTTTTCTGAAACCTTTGCACAGTCATACCTCAATTCCTCAGTTTTCTTAGAGCCCATACATTTAACAACGTGTATGTGTGCATTTCCTGTACAGGACACTGGAAACACCAGTTAATGTTTGATTTGTGCATACACTTTTTATATAGGTGTGTTTGTTTTCCTGCTGGTCTTAGCCAGCATACCTGACACCTGAGTAAAACCTTTGAACTCTCAAGTGTTATTTATTAGTGGAATCAAACAATGTTTTACTCAGCACTAGCTCTAACTTTAAGCTTATCAAAATTGGCTTTGTCCAACATACTTATTCCTATTCTTCCCCAAAAATACCATAGCTGAACTTTTATTAGGAGGCCCCTACCCCCTTTGACAGAGTCAATATAGCCAGAAGCAAGCACTAACCAAAAGAATCTTGAACTAGTTTAATACTTCTCATCTTAGCATCTACAGTTACCAGGTTCTTCAAGAAACTAAACCTCATCATAATCCCATTTTAGAATTAGATTTTAGAAGTTCCTGCATTTTCCCGACTTCTTCAGATTCTTGTGAACCAAACTCTAGCATTAATCCAGCCACAGAGTTGACATATATCCCTGCATCAACAGCCCAAATAGTGGATTAATTTCCTCTGTCAGGGTCATCTGCAGCCCAACTCAACACATCTCTTCAATTCAGCAGTCATTTGACTCTTTGGCCCCCTTAACCCTGGATTAGGGTCAAACTCTAACCCTAGTTTTAATCAGAACTCAGAGTTTAATCTGCAGTTGTGACTAGCATCTTTATCCCCTGCTCTCTCTCTGGATCAGCCCTTCCCATATGAACCTCTAGCTGCAGCTCCAGCCTTCACTGATGGTACCCACATCCTGTCTTGTCCAGTTACCCTGAACTGTCCCCTACCAGCCCTAGTCCCCATTCTAACTCCAATGTTCTTGTAATGCACAATAAGCACAATTTTTTTCAAGCTTTCTTTTGCAAACACAAATCTTTACCCTAATCCTAACACTAAGCTCAGAACTGAACCTTTTCAGTTCATCCCTGCCACCTCCAGCCATGTCCCATTTCTGTGACAGCAAGGAATGAAGAAGTCCAACAGTATCCTGCAGCATCCATGTGGAGATGGGCTGAGGTTACTGTCAGAAAGGAGATTGTTTAGGTGTAAGGTGTTGGTGATTTTGCACCCATGAAGCAAGGCACGATTACGAAATTTACCAGCAATGCTAGACTAATGAAGAATATACATTCTAGTCCCTGCAAAGTGTATGGTGTTAGGTAAGAGCTTCTGCTGTAAGGAATGAATTATGCCTGCAAGATTTGGTAGGCTGCATCTAGCAGAGAAGGTTTAATATTCAAGTTAGTGTTTCAGAAGAAATTAGCTGAGGGGAGGGTTTTGTGGTTGTTGTGATTTGCAAATACTAATACTAGGAGCACCCAATTATCTCTAACTGGATGTGGTGGTTGGATACCAGCTGGAAACTGAGCTCCACATGGCTTCTTTCTCACTTCCCCCCAGTGGGCTGGGGGACAGAATGGGAAGAATAAAAGTGATAAAATTCATAGGTTGAGAAAAAAGACAGTTTCATAGGTAAGGCAAAAGTCTCACACACAAGCAAAGCAAATAATTCACTATTGCCCATGGGTAGGGAGGTGTCCAGCCAACTCCAAGAAAGCCAAGCTCTATCACCCTTAAGAGTGACTTGGGAACACAAATGACCTCACTCTGAATGCTCCCCTGCTTCCTTCTTGTTCCCCCAGCTCTGTATGTTGCCATATGATATGGAATATTCCACTGGATACATGGGGTCACCTGTACCAGCCATGTCCCCTCCCAGCTCCTTGTGCACCCCCAGCCTGCACACTGGTGGGGTGTGAGGAGCAGAAAACACCTCAACTCTGATTTAAGCACTACTCAGCAACAGCTAAGACATCTCTGTGTTATCAACACTGTTTTCAGTACACTTGAAATGTGGGACAAGTGGCTAGGGCCAGGCGTGTGGGGTTGTATCTGTTACAGATGCTCAGGATTATAAGTGGGAGATCAATACCAGGAGTTGGAAATGGCTATATATTATTTACTAGCACTGCAGGAACTGTTTAAGGTAGTACTGTGTAATGTAGTTTGTAGATTCTTGGTTTTCAGCAACAAGTTTCTTTATAAATGAGGCTGAATATACTCCTTTCCCCAAGGGAGACCAGGAAATCATCTGAAGTCATGTAGAGACATGAGACATGGCTACAGTGGTGAATTCTGGGTACGTGAGCTTGAAAGAAACTTGGATTAAGGAGCACTAGGTGATGTGCCAGGATTTCAGCAGGGAAGCAACCTCCATGGCAGGCACCCAGGGAAAGAGGCAGGCTGGTTCAAGAGCAAGGCACTGCAGTGTGGGATCATAGCTGAAGTGCTCAGAGTGATATAATTAACTTAAAAGGGGGATGCAGCTGCATAAACTTCACATCCATACTTGCCCTAGAGAAGGAGCAAGCTCCTGTGGTTGAAGTGTGCTAAGAGGATTCCCTCAGAGTTTGGCAGCATGAAGTGCGCACACAGAGATCCAGAAAGAAGCTTTTTCATGTGTGAGGATTATTTTTAATTCTTTTTCCCACCAACCTTTCCATGCTCTGTGGAAAGATGCAACAAAATCATAATGTCAACAATTATGAGGGTACTTGGCCAGTGTCTTTTACTTTGTTATAGCCCACGGAGACCAAAGTCGGCCAGGCTGTGTGAGCCTCTCCCTCTGGAGACCTGCAACCACAGCTGCTCCTGCTGGGTCAGCTGGCACAGTGTCAGGCTTACCACTGTTCTGCCAGAAATACACAAAGTGCAGCAGATACCCAACAGAGAGTAAAATGAGGCTTTACTCTTGTCTGGGGTAAAGTATTGTGTTACTGACTGCAGCAACATGTAATGGCAAAGGGTCCTTTAAAGCACAGAGCAAAAGTGCAGCAGGGAAACAAGCAGAAATACAAATTTTAAGCATTGTGGCACTTCAAAAAGTGTAGAAGTTCTGTCACAGGAGAGACAATGTTAGCATCACACCAAGACTTCTGAAACTCGGCTTCAGACCACCATCTTAAATTGGGTTACCCTGCCCAAAGGTGTTTATAGGTGGTATTCCACTGCTCAGTGAGACATGCTGCCAGTGCAAGAATGTGTTCAGACATAAAAATGCAAATCATTAAATTCTGCACAAAGGATACATACATACATGTTGTATGACAGTTTCTTTCTGTTTTGTTTTTTAACTAGCTGAGCCATTTGCAAAGAACAAGACAAATGCTTCCATCTTTCTAACTGACAGCAAAGCAAATTCTGGTTAAATTCTTTGCTCTGAGAAAGAGTAGCTGTGCTGTGGCCCCTAAAAACCAGTGCTGCTTACATCAGACTTTAATGCATTTGAATACCTTGTGTATTAGAAACTATATAAAAATTTTCCATGTAATTTCTTTTAAAATTACTCATGGAAAGTGATAATTTCACAAATGCCTTGTTACTCTTTTGTCAGTGACTGTCTCTGCTTATGAAGGATACTTTTTTAACTGTTTTTCCTTCATTTTATTTTAGTCAGAAAGTCCTTGTGTCCACACTAACAGTGAAAAACAAAACAAAAAAAAAAAAGTTGGAGGCATTTTGTTCAGCAAAACTTATTTCCTGTAAACAATTTTTCTTTTTTTAACTAAGGTAAATATTGTATGATACTCTGTGCAAGCACATATAATGCAGAGTAGGAGATGGATATGCCAATATACTTGCTTCAGCAGTTAAAGGAGTTCTGGCTTCCCCTGCCCCTATTCCTCACAGAGCAGAGTACAAATGCATTCATGAGTTTAAAGGCACTCCTTTTATCCAAAGTGTCTGCAGCTGTTGCATGAAAAAAGTGACATGTTGAGATTTACAAGAGTTCAAACTTAAACGTTCTTTGTGCAACCTAACCTACTCCCTTCACAAGTGTATTTGTCTTCAAAACCATGCATTATTTCCATTAGCACATACAGACAGATTGACATCTCTATTCATGGATTTGTACAAACGGAGAAAGAATATTTTTCAGGTCCATGCTGGATACTTATATATAATTATTGTTCTTAGACTTACTTGTAACATTTTTATGCATATAGCCATACCAACTGTTTCTCTTGAAAAATATTTTATGACAGAGATTCCCACAAAAGCCACAGGCAGGAAGGTCTCCCAGGGTGCCTTTGAAGGTCTTCCCCACAGAAGTTTGTCTTCAAAGGTTTTCTGAGTTCAGGCATTCTAAAGTTGCAGCTTACTCTTTTGAAGTTCTCCAGGAAGCTTTGTTGCTGTGTGGCCTTAGGACACTTGTGCTAT